GGAGGCTGCAATGCTTGGTAAGAAATGTACGCATTATCCTGCCCATGTAATTGTAACCCCTCTGTACAATATGTTCACAAATAAAATAAAATAATTAAAAAAAAAAGAAACTTCAGGTTGGAAATGTGGCTTAGTGGTAGAGTGTTTGCCTAGTATGCATGAAGCCCTGGGTACCATATAACAGAAAAAGCCGGAGTGGCACTGTAGCTCAAGTGGTAGAGTGCAGCCTTGAGCAAGTGGTAGAATGTAGCTCAGAGGCAGTGCCCAGCCCCTGAATTCAAGCCCCAGGAAAGAAAGCAAATGAAGAAAGGAAGGAAGGAAGGAAGGAAGGAAGGAAGGAAGGAAGGAAGGAAGGAAGGAAGGAAGGAAGGAAGAAAAAAGAAAGGAAGGAAGGAAGGAAGAGGGAGAGAGAGAAAGAGAAAGAAAGAGGGAGGGAGGGAGGGAGGAAGGGAGAGGAAGAAGAGAAAGGAAGGAAGGGAGAGACAGATGGGAAAGGAGGAGGGAGGGAAAAAGGGAGGGAAGGAGGGAGAGAGGGAGGGAGGAAGGGAGAGGAAGAAGAGAAAGGAAGGAAGGGAGAGACAGATGGGAAAGGAGGAAGGAAGGAAGGAAGGAAGGAAGGAAGGATGGAAGGAAGGAAGGAAGGAAGGAAGGAAGGAAGGAAGGAGTGGGGGGGGCTGGGAAGGTGGCTCAGTGGTAGAGTGCTTGCCTCGCAGGCATGAGGCCCTGGGTTCAATTCCTAAGCACCACATAAGCAGAAAAAGCTGGAAGTGGTGCTGTGGCTCAAGTGGTAGAGTGCTAGCCTTGAGTTGAAGAGGTGAAGGACAGCACCCAGGCCCATCACTGACCAAAAAAGAGAAAGGGGGGGGGGAATAGGGAGAGAAGGGAAAGGAAAGGACAGAGAGGGGGAGAGAGAGGGAGAGGGGAAGGGAGAGCGAGAGGGAGAGAGAGAGGGGGAGGGAGAAAGAGAGGGAGAGAGGGGGGAGAGAGAGAGGAGAGAGAGAGAGAGAAATTCAGATAGGCACTAATGGCTCATGCCTGTAATCCCAGCTACCCAGGAGGCTGAGATTTTAGGAGTATGATTCAAAGCCAGCTTGGGCAGGAAAGTCTGTGAGATGCTTACCACCAATTAACCACCAAAAAAATCCAGAAGTAGACCTCTTTTTATTTCTTGATCAGTCATGGGGCTTGAACTCTGGGCCTGTGCACTGTCCCTCAGCTCTTCAGCTCAAGGAGAGTGCTCTACCACTTGAGCCACAGCGCCACTTCTGGTTTTCTGAGTGATTTATTGGAGATAAAGAGTCTCATAGACTTTCCTGCCCGGACTGGCTTTGGCTGGCTTTGAACTGCGATTCTCAGATCTCAGCCTCCTGAGTAGCTAGGATTACAGGTGTGAGCTACCAGCACCTGGCTAGAAGTAGAGCTCTTGCTCTACTTGTAGATTGCTGAGTTCAAGCCCCACCACACACACACTCACACATGTCTTCAAAGCTAGGCACCAGTGGCTCATGACTGAGTTCAAGCCTCACCATACACACATACACATACACATACACACACACACACACACACACACACGCACGCACACACGTCTTCAAAGCTAGGCACCAGTGGCTCATGACTGTAATCCTAGCTACTTAGCAAACTGAGATCTGAGAATCACAGTTCAAAGCCAATCCCTGGCTAGAAGTAGAGCTCTTGCTCTACTTGTAGATTGCTGAGCTCAAGCCCCCCCTCCCCCCCCCACATCTTCAAAGCTAGGCACCAGTGGCTCATGACTGTAATCCTAGCTACTTAGCAAACTGAGATCTGAGAATCACAGTTCAAAGCCAATCCCAACAGGAAAACAAATGAGACTATTATATCCAATTGATCGCTAAAAAGCCAGAGAGGAGTCAGGGAAAGTGGCTTAGTAGTAGCATGCTTGCCTAATATGCATGAAGCCCTGGATTTGATTCCTCATAAATAGAGAAAGCTGGAAGTGGCGCTGTGGCTCAAGTGGTAAGAGTGCTAGAGCCTTGAGCAAAAGAAGCTCAGTGACAGTGGCCAGACCCTGAGTTCAAGTCCCAGCTCTGGCAAAAAAAAAAAAAAAAAAGCCAAAGGGGCTCAAGTATGCTAGTTAGCCTTGAGGAAACTGCCAGGAATAGCACAAAAAAGCAGCAATATTATGATGATAGTCATTTAATAATTTTTTTTCTACATTTTGTTTTGGTGGTGCTAGAGTTGAACTCAAGGCCTCATGCTTGCTAGACAAGTACTACCTAATCCTTTTTCACTTTGTTGTTGTCATTGGTGGTGGGGCTTGAACTCAGGGCCTGGACACTGTGCCTGAACCCTATTGCTCAAGGACAGTGCTGTACTAATTGGAGCTGCAGCTCCACTTCCAGATTTCTAGCTGTTAACTGGAGATAAGAGTCTCATGGAGCGGTTGGGAAGGTGCTCAGTGGTAGAGTGCTTGCCTTGCATGCATGTGGCGCTGTGTCTCAAATGGTAGAGCGCTAGCCTTGAGCTGAAGAGCTGAAGGACAGCGCCCAGGCCCAGAGTTTAAAGCCCCACGACCGGATCCCCAAAAACAAAACAAAATAAAAAAAAGAGTCTTATGGAGTTCCCTGCCCAGGCTGGCTTCAAACCACGATTCTCAGGTCTAAACCTCTTGAATAGCTAGGATTACAGGCCTGAGCCACTAGCACCCGCTCTTTGAGGTTTTTTGTTGCTTTTTTGTTGGCTGTGGGGCTTGAACTCTGGGCCTGGGTACTGTCCCTGAGCATTTCAGCTCAAAGTGAGCACTCTTACCACTTAAGCCACAGTGCCACTTCTGGTTTTCTGGTGGTTAATTGGAGATAAGAGTCTCAAGACTTTCCTGCCCAGGCTGGCTTTGAACTGCGATCCTGTGATCTCAGCCTCCTGAGTAGCTAGGATTACAAGCATGGCCTCTTTTGGTATTTTTGAGATAGAGTCTCACTTTTAGTCCTAGACAGGCCTGAACAGCAATTCTCCTATTTGCTTTCTCCTATATATACTTTTTGTGTGGCTAAGATGACAGGCAAGAACTATTGTGCCAGAATTTTACTGATAAAGATGGGGGTCTCAAACTATTTTTCCTGATCTGTCTCCTAAGTATCTAGGATTACAGGCATGAACCACCAGTGCCTGGCAACTACCATATAGTTTTATAGCTACTGGAGGGAGACAAGACAATTCCAATATGATATAATGAGAAGCCCAAGAATTCACAAGTAACATATATCCAAAGTAGTAATACTACAGTGAAATCCCTTGATATAATACACAGAAAGAAAAAAAAAAAAGAATGACAAGAAAATAAAACAGGTTTGGATGGGAAGATGAACAGTAGTGAGAAGAGATAAATAATATGATAGAAGTTTATTTACATGTATAAAAACAGAACAGAGCCGGACACTGATGGCTCACACCTGTAATCCTAGCTACTCAGGAGGCTGAGATCTGCAGATTGCGGTTCAAAGCCAGCCTGGCAGAAAAGTTCATGAGACTCTGATCTCCCAATAAGCCACCAAAAATCTGGAAGTGGTGCTATGATTCAAGTGGTAGAGTGCTAGCCTTGAGCTGAAGAGCTGAGGGACAGAATGCAGGGCAGGGGCTAGGAATGTGGCTTAGTGGTACAGTACTTGCCTAGAATGCACAAAGCCCTGGGTTCAATTCCTTAGTACCAACCACATAAGCAAAAAAACCAGAAATGGTGCTGTGGCAAAGGACAGTGCCCAGGCCCTGAGTTTGAACCCCAGGACTGGTGGGGGAGGAGGAGAGGGAGAACAAAAAACCAACAACAACAACAGAAGAAAGCTTGGCACTGGTGGCTTATACATGTAATCCTAGCTACCCAGGAGGCTGAGATCTGAGAACCAGGGTTTTAAACTAGGCCAGGGGAGGCTGAGATCTGAGAACCAGGGTTTTAAACTAGCCCCGGTAGTAAAGTCCATGAGATTCTTATCTCTAATTAACCACCCCAAAACAAGAAGTGGAGCTATGGCTCAAAACGGTAGAGTGCTAAACCTTGAGCAAAAAAGTTCAGGGGCCACGCACAAGGCCCTGAGTTCAAGCTCCATGACAGACGCAAGAAAGAAAAGAGAAAGAGAGAGAAAGGAGAGAAAGGAAAGAAAGGAAAGGAAAGGAAAGGAAAAGAAAGGAAAAGAAGGAAGGAAAAGAAAGAAAGAAAGAGAGAGAGAGAGAGAACGAACGATACCTAAGAAAATTGTTTTAAGGAAGTGTGATAAGGGAGGTTGATCAGGATATATTGTACACGTATATGTGTATGTATATAAATGTCACAATGAGACCCCACTGTATAACAAAGATATGTTCTTTTTTAAAAAAGGAAATTAATTTTTAAAAATCCCCAATACATGCACTTTCTTCTTCCAGCACAACAAAAATAAGCACAGGTATTACCTCTCTGCCTGTAAGGATGTGTCTTGCCAATTTCACTTTTGCAAAATTCCCCTTGCCGATTGTTTTCAACAGTCTGTAGTTTCCGATGTGAGGTTGCTCATCTGCACAGGAAGCTATTGAGTTTCTACACCTTGCTCCAGAGCGCCCAGTACGGGAGGTAACTTCTTGCCTCCCATCTCCATGTGAGGTGTGCTACAATGTAATGTACACAAAGACAAGGAAATGAGAGAACATGAAGTACTTGCCAAGTTTTAAGAGGTTCTAGCAGAAGAAACAAAAGATTAAGGCTTTATTTAATCTTAATTTTACAGTATATCCAGCAGTACAAAGGAACTTTATCCACATAATACAAATTTATGAGGAAAACAAAGAAAATGTAACAAGAAAAAGACCAAATGTTGCTTGCAGTTCAACTGGGTAGTCAGATATAATGTAGAGCCACAGTCCCTAGAGTTCATGATTTTTTGACTTTATGTATTGGTGCTAAAGCCAAACATTCAGTAAAAACTGTACTTTTAAGTTTGAATTACGTTTTTCTGTGACTCTCTCAGTGCACACCCTGTTGGCCATTTAGATGAGAATAAACAATCAAGATTCTACAGTATACTATGGTGCCAGTTTTTAGGTAGAGTTATTATATAAATAGCCCACAAGTAGGCTTGTGTTATGTGATTTTGACAGACTAAAGGCTAATGTAAATATTCAGACCACATGTAAGGAAAACTAGGCTAAGCTATGACAGTTGGTCATTTATAAAAATGGGTATTAAGTATGGTATTTTCAACTTTAGACCAGACCAGGTTACCAGGACACAGACCCACGGTAAATTGAGGAGCATCTGTATTTAGAATCTGTGGCATTCCCATAAAATAGAAATAGGACTGCCTTCTGGTCACAGAGTATAACTTCCCTACATGTTACCAACTACACCTGCACATCTAATCCTCACCACAACTTGTAAAGCCTGACTCTATGTCTTCGCTCATGAGATGATTCAGGGGCTAAATGAGAAATTCAGAGAATTTACTTATTTCTTTTTATCACTATGATGTTGAAAGAACTTTGCTCCATGGGCTGGGAAGGTGGCTCAGTGGTAGAGCGCTTGCCTTGCATGCCTGAGGCCCTGGGTTTGATTCCTCAGCACCACATAAGCAAAAAGAAAAA